AGAAATATTTAACCTGATGATAACATAAAGTGCTTCGAATTTTAAAAGATTACTTTGTGGCTGAGGTAACTCTCTATTATCTTTTTCTTTATTTTTATCTCGACTCTCTATTGTCTTGGGCATTAGGTAGTGAGTTCGAGTACTCTTGAAGTTTTTTTTTTTTTTTTTGTTTTTTTTTTTCCAGATTTTTAGACTCAAGGCATGGCGATGGCCGGATCATGACGGGTCTACCGTGCGGCGTTCTCCAGTGACCGTGCATCGGTAGTTTGCATGTAAAAGTTATAATAATAAACAGCAACGAGATTGTAGCCTAGTGGTTTCCATGCCAAATCCCACATTTCTTGTAGTGTTCTCAAGCTTATCATCTGCTGGATGTCATAGTTTTCCATCTCTTGTAGAGCCGTCAATCATGCCATCACATGTCTTATGAAGCTTTTGCTAGTTGCAAATAACGTTGGATCCTAGGTATCAATGAAAAATAACGCAACACTTTTGCTAGTCTTAGGTTTAGCTGTAGAACCATTATTCTTAACATCGAGCTCTGGCACACATCATAAAAGTTATTTTAAAATTTCAAAAAAAAATCTATGGTAATATAACTTTGTGATAAGTACAAATGCTTAGCTTTGAGATGTTTTCAATATCGTATCAAGAAGCATGTTGACGTGACTATATATGTATGACTATTGATACGCTTTCCACGTGTATAAAATATAAGGACGTTTTAAACCATGTCTAACTTTGTGTTATTCTGAGACGACTTTAGTATTGCGTCAAAAAACATCTTTAATTGGCTATGGAGCGCTCTCTGAAACGCTTTGTAACGTGTCTAGAAGCTATTGACGAATAAAAGTGTGTCTGACACCGTGTTAGTTTGAGACGTTTTCAATATCGTGTAAACAAGTTTCTCCATATGCCTTTTGACACTAAAAGCGTGACTATTGTTGTGTCATGCTGACACGTTCACGAAATCGTGTCAAAAAAATTATTGCATGACCATGTACAGACGACTTTAGTGTGCGTTACTATAAAAGCGTGACTAGAGGTTTTTTCCTATAGTGGCAGGGACGCTAGCATGACTAGAGGTTTTTTCCTATAGTGGCAGAGACGCTAGTTTTCAGAAGGCTTCTCTCTGCTCTGATTCCATGCTACTCATTTTAAATAGAGCGAAAAACAATTCCCTAGTACCGTACATAAGATTCTCAAAGGACCAAAGACGTTTTGCTAGAGATCGAAGAAGTCACTGCGAATGCCCTTGAGGCTTGAGTTCGCCGATGACCAACTAAAGATTTGGATCCATCACCCCAAGCTATTTACGGAATCGTGTGAAGTGGTGGATTTAATGAGGATCCAGAATTGGTGTCTCTAATAATTTTAATGAGGATCCATCACCTTTTTATATTTTGTTTGACATCAAAAGGTAATTTAAATGGCAGCTTTGAATATCCTTTTTATTTCAAGAGAAGATTCAATCACTTAACCAACATTAAGAATCTCTTTCTTGCTTGAAGTCAACTTTCATCTCTTAAATGCATGAAGAAGACAGTTGGCTTTATTTTCTTTGACAATGATATTGGTACCGAATAGAGGAATGGATATTAGCAGAGAGTAAAATTTACTGATGGTCCTCAAAGTTATCTAAAGGTGTATCTAGGTCCTTAAAGTTTCAAAATGCGTTTTTGCCTCTCTGAAGTTGTAATGGGTCTCATCCAGGTCCCAATAAGGGTTGACCCGACCCATGATCCTACGTGGCATGGATCTAACAAATGAGACCTACATATCAACAACAAAGCTACACCATAGAACAATCGTATCTTTTCATACGACCTCGAATGAAGATGATCTTTTATCAAAATTGTAGCTTTTGATAAAATCTACAAATTTCTAGTTTTGAGTTTGTTTTCATTTGAGATTGTTAAGATGCTCAAAACAAAAATATAAAGTTTCAACAGTATATTACTCACGTATTAGGGCTTGTCGTCTTAGAAAAATCATATATTTCTTGTAAGGTGTCGGATAAACATACTTTGTATACGAAAATTATAGCGATCGATTTGATCTACAAGTTCCTAGTTTTGAGTTTTGTCATTTGATATCTCAAATGAAAAGAAACTCAAAACTGTAAAGTTGTAGATCTCATTGAGAGCTACAATTTTCATATAAAAATCATCTTTAGCTAAGGTCATATGAAAAAAAATATGATTTGGAGCATTCCCGCTGACATGTGGGTCCATCTGTCAGATCCATGCCACGTGGGACAACAGGTTCTAAACTCCCTTGGGGACCTAGTTGAGACCTGTTACAACTTCAAAGAGTAAAAAATGTATTTTAAAACTTTGGGTGCCTAGATGATACCTCTAGACAACTTCAATGACCGGTGGTGAATTTTACTCTTGGATTACCTTTGGCAACAGCCGTGGCAGGTAATTATATAAGCATATTTTGGATCAAAAACTTTTGCAACAGCAGTGGCAGGTTAACCCCTCAATAATGGCATGCATAGCTAATATGGAAACAGGTATAAAGACTATTTCTGTGTTCATTTTTACGTAACAGTGGCAGTAGGAAGTTTGTTAACATGTTGAGGGAATTTTTTACTTCATTCTCTGATGACCATGGTAATTTTTAGAATTAATGTAGTCTTCTTTTTGTTGAACAAAAATACCAAGATAATACGTAGATGAAAGTGCTTCAGAGTTCACACAATGTTGGTAGTGGTATGGATCTATTTGCTTCTCTTTTTTATTGCGTTTGTCCTAGTTATCACCATTGGATATATAATTTCATACTGCACTAAGCATCCTTTCTCGTTGTTCTGGAGTGGGCATCAAAATGGCAACCCATGTACACAAGGAAAGAGATAAATAGTTACATTGCTTTTTTTTTTACTAAGGACGCTTGTAATTATTCTCAATATGAATAGATCGTTAAATCTTTCAGGTCATATATTTTATTATTTTTCCTATGTTTACATTTCAAACTGTCATATTGAGCTATGTTCCTTTTTATATATTATTTGACATCAAAAGTTAATTTGAATCACAGCTTTGGATGTCCTTTTATTCCAAGGGGAAGATTCAATCACTTAACCAACATTAAGAAGCTTTTTTTCTACATTTATCTTTTAAACTCTAATATCGAATTATGGTCCATTTTGTACTGTAGTTGACTAAAGAATAATTAGAATTGCAAGCATGAATCTTTTTGCTTGAAGTCAACTTTCATCTCTTAAATGCATGAGGAAGACAGTTGGCTTTGTTTTCCTTGACACAATGCTATGGGTACCAAATAGAGAAATGGATATAAGCGAATTGAGGACTAACTTTTGTAACAACAGTGGCGGGTAATTCTATAAGGGGCCGTTAGGATCCTTTCATTTGGAGAAATTGAAATCTACTTAATAAATTATGCTATTTGACTTGGAATTTGACATTCTACCACTTTCCAAAGTTCACATATAAGTCTATCTCAAATTCATAGGGTGAGAAATGGAAATTGATTCTATAGATCACTATTCTATATTTCTACTTTGCAATTTATAACACGCTCTTCAACTCGCTCCCCTACAGTAAAAATACAACACATAAGTATCTCTTTCGTATAGCCAATTATAATATACAAATATAATCCATATACGACCATATTAGCTTAATTCATATGTGTCTAAATTATGATTATTAAAGGACACAGTTATCGCGTGAACCGTCTTCAACCTCCCGCCGTGACCTCCCTCCACGCCTCGTCCTTGACATTGACCCCGCGACCCACCATCTGTGCCTCGTCCTCGACCCCAACCCCACCGCCGTTCTTGCTTGTCCTCGCCCTCCCCGCCGGCCACCGCCCCGCTGCGCTGGCGAACCCTAGTGCCCGCGGCGGTCGCCTTCTTCCCCTCCCCCCTCACACTAGAGCTCCACCATGGCCATGCTCGCCAGCGACGCCGAGCTCCGAGCTCTGGCCATGGCGCCCCTGCCCCTCCCTAGCACGGCCACCGCTACCACCGCCAGCCCATCTAAACTGCCCGGCCTCCTTTCCCACCGCTTGGCTTGCCTCCCTCCCCCCGGCCGGCTGGGCCCTTCTATAGCCCGCAAGATTTGGCTTCTTCTCCCTCTCCGGCGACCTCCTCCTCGCCGGAACCCTAGCCACCGCTGTCGTCGTCTTCATCTCTGGTGCTCACAGATCCCGGAGGAATAGGAGGAGGAGGAAGCCTACCTCGCCGCCGGAGGGGAGGGAGGGAAGAACTCGCCGGCACAGGTGGGGGTGCTGGTGGGAGTGGATGCGTGCGCGAGGTGGGCCAGGGGAGGAGGCGAGCGCGGCGCAAGGTGAGGGCGCGGCACGGCGAGGATGGCGGGTCGCGCGCTCCCCACGTGCGTGACCCATCGCTTAATAGACTGTGATTATTAAAATAAATTCAATTATAAGGATCCAAACGGGTCCTAAGCGTATTTTGGATTAACTTTTGCAACAGCAGTGCCAGGTAATTATATAAGCGTATTTTGGATTAAATTTTGAAACACCAGTGGCAGGTAATCCCTCAATAATGGCATGCGTAGGTAAAATGGAAACAGGTATAAAGAGTATTTCTGGGTTCACTTTTACATAATAGTGGTGATAGGAAGTTTTTTTTTTTTTTGACGGGGAACAGGAGGGGCACGCCCCTACTATGATTTTATTGACAAAAAGGAGTACAGAACAGTACAAGTATAAGAAACAAGCAGGTAACTAGCAGGGGGAAAGCAATCAAGATACAAAGAAAGAAAGGAAAAACTGTGATAAGAAGTTTGTCAGCACGTAGAGGGAACTTTTACTTCATTCCTGAGAATTAATGTAGTCTTCTTTTGTTGAACAAAAATACCAAGATAATACGTAGATGTTAGTTCTTCAGAGTTCAGACAATGCAATAAAGTCACTCTTCTGTTTGATGGCAATTGCTTGTCGTTGGAAAGCTGTTCCACACGACTGACTCGCTGTGACAGCAAGAACGGAACTGCTTCTACTCCGTGCTACGGAGTACACTCCAGTCTGCTTTTCCTAAGCGTCTGCTCGCTGCATTTGAGTAAAATCTGCAGCACATCCTCCATAGTAGGTCGTGAGGACGGTGAGTTAGCCGTGCATTTCACGCCTAGCCTGAACACGGTCTCAATCTCGTCAGCATACCCTGCATATCTGATGCAGATGTCTGTAGCATCAGGGATACTCACCCCTGATCGGGAGTGATGCCCTGCCCATTCTGCCAGGGAACCGTGATCGCCACCATCGTTGGCATTCTTGTCAGTTGTGAGCTCCAAGAGCACAACACCAAAGCCGAAAACATCCACTTTCTCATTCACCTTCCTCGTGTAAGCATACTCTGCACATATTCAACAACAAAAACTATAAAATTAGGCCTCACAAGACTTCAACCTATGGTATTGACTACAGTAGTTACCATCTTAGTCACTACTGTACACAATCCGACAAAATTAGTGAACTCCATTGAAATGACCAAAAGTAGATCCTTACCAGGAGCCATGTAGCCGAATGATCCAACTACCCAGGTCATCGTGTTGGGTTCCCCTGCTTGCATCAGCATCCTAGCCAGCCCGAAGTCCGCACAACCTTAGCCCGGAACTCCGAGTCCAGCAGGATATTGCTCGTCTTGACGTCCCGGTGAATGATGGGAGGCGAGCAATGGTGGTGCATGTAGCACAGTCCCTGCGCTGCCCCGACAGCCACTATGAGCCTCGTTGGCCAGTCCAACGGCACACGCTGCACAGGCCGCACCCTCGCCATAGGGTGCCCTGCACGGAGGACGTAATCGCCATGGAGCCATCTGTCCAGGCTGCCGTTGTCCATGTAATCATACACGAGGAGCTTAGAGTCCGTGCCAGAAAAGCAGCACAGCAGCTTGACAATGTTGTTGTGCCGGATGTTGCACAGGATGCTAGCCTCGGACTCAAACTCATGCTCCATCAACTCATCCAGCGACCCAAAGCTTCGTATCTGCTTCACGGCCACCACCCCGATGCTCCTGTTGTACCGGTTGGTGTATGTGACGCGGTAAACCTGCCCTGAACCACCGCTGCCAACAAGGTTCTCTTCATTTAGTCCCTGGAGTATGTCTGCAGCCTCGAAGTTCAGAGTCTGGAAAGCTGTAATTCGCCATTCATCCTGCTTTTCTTTCATGAACATAATCGCAGAGGTGCGGAAGCAGTTCATTGTTATGAGGCCACCCTTAGTGATTTGAGAAGCATCCTCCCCAGGTGGTATCCTTACGTTGTCTACGCGGTATGTTCTCTTTGGTGATGAGATCGTAGCAATAACAACAAGAAAGCATATTCCAACAGGAGCACTGGCAGCGGCAAAGATGGTGACTACAACGTTGTGTGCCCTTCTCTTATGAGTACTATGACTAGGAGTGTAATTATTGTTTCCTGTACCAGTTACAAGATCAGGATTCCCAACTATATCAATATAAACACTTTGGCGGAGACTAGGAACAAACCCAGAAAGATTATTATAAGAAAGCACCAGCTGTGTCAAGCTTTGCAGGTTCCATAGTGAAGATGGAACCTCACCAGTCAGGTTGTTATATGAAAGATCAAGAATCCCTAATTCACTTGAAGAGCCAAGTTCTGAAGGAATAGATCCACTGAGATGGTTGTGACTAAGATTCAGTGTGGTCAGGCTTCTTAAATCAGAAAATGTACTTGGAATTGGACCACTGAGGTTGTTTTTTTGAAGCTTCAGCACTACCAGTTTGTCAAGCTTCCCTATGGAATCAGGCACTGAACCATTCAAATTATTTGATGCCAGATTCAACAACGATAAGCTCTTGCATCCGCCAAGCTCTGGAGGTATATTTCCTATTAATTGATTACCATCCAACTCAAGAGAAGTCATGCTCAAGGTATCACAAACTGACACTGGGATGTTCTCACCAAGCTGGTTTCCACCAAGCCTCAAGCGGTAGAGGCTTTGAGACAAGGTGCCAGGAATAGCTCCGCTAAGCATGTTGCCAGTAAGATCAACACTCCGCAACCCCTGATGCAAGAGGAAATCTGAGGGGATCGTCCCACTCAGATTGTTGTAACTCAGATCCAACATCCTTACGTGCTTGGTAATCCAGCTGGCTATTGGACCAGTCAAATAGTTCTGGTTGGCTGCAAACCTAGACAGCGTTGTCACATTTGAGAGGCTCGCTGGTATTTCCCCGATCAGTTTATTGCCTGAAAGAAGCAAAGTCTCGAGCTTGGGGAGACCCATGAACTCATCTGGGACAGGACCAGATAGATAATTCTGGCTGAGATCTAGCAGAGTAAGATTTTCATATCTAAACAAACCCAGAGGGATTGAACCACTCAGTTGATTACCAGACAATACCAACTCCAGCAAAGAGCCGACCATACTGGTAGGAACATGACCACTCAACTTATTGGTACTAGCGTTGAAGCTCTTTAATTTGGGAAAATAACCCAAGTCTGCACTGAGATTTCTACTGGCAAAGGAATTGAAGGACAAATCAAGAACTTCTAGCTGGGGGAAGTGGGATAAATCACTGAGCGAATTAGCCAAGTGATTGGTGCTCAGATTAAGCGACTGCAACCCTTTTTCATGGAGCAAGAAGAATTGGCGAAGAACTGGGCGGACAAATTTGTGAAGGAATTTCGGGAGAGGTCAAGGGACTGCAAGGTGTCAAGCCGGCAAAGGTGGGCAAAGATGGAGGAGTCGGATAGGCCATAGTTTGACAAGCTAATGCTACTGACGGCCGAGAAAGAACTGGAATTTCTGCAACTGATTCCTGTCCAGTTGCATGGATTGTCTGCAGCGTTCCACCTGGTGTTGGCGGAAGCGGATTCAGAGTTCACCAGACTCGCAATATCATTCATGATGGACTTTTGCGTGTCGGTCAGTGGAGGCGATTGCGTGGTGGTGGTGGTGGCGGCGGCGGCCGGTGGCACATCAATAAAGGAGAAGAAGAACAAGAACGGCAGCAGCAGCCGTAGGAGGAAGAAGCCATGGCTGGCACAGGGACCATACCTCCTCTCCACCATGGCCATCCCCCCAGTTGTTGGCCTCCCGCTCGATTAACCGCCTCGCCTCTTTCCCTCCTCCTCAATCCCAGATGACCTCCACCAGCTCGAGTAGCAGGGGAACGAAGAAAAAGACGAGATCTTTTTTTTCCCCTCTCTAGGATTTTTGAGTGCTGGGTGTGCTCGCCCATGGCTTCCTCCATGGGTTTTGTTGAGATTGAGAACGAGAAGTGTGCTTCAGAGAGGAAGACCCAAGTCTGCTCACGATTTTGTTGAGGAGTTTCTGGTGGTGCCCCTTCTCTTGGGTTTGGGTTGGGTCCAGCGTTGACTGACCGATGACGTACAGCACTGCCTACTGCTGTGTGACTTGTGAGAGCGAGTGAGCGACCAAAACGCCATTTGGAGCGGAAAGCCTGAAAGAATTTTTTTCATTTTAATCTTTTTGAAAACATTTTTTTTATAGATAACCCTCTCGCAAAACATTTTCTACAAATAACCCGAATGCTCGGCGCCGTGGTATTAGGCTTGGCGCGTTGTCAGTTGACGGCGAGGTACCGCCAAGTCACCTTTGACTGCGGTCGATGAATTTACCGTCGCACTGGGTCCCGCATTGGTCGGCGTGAGCATAGTTAACGCCAAACCTCATACCTTGGCGCAGCGCAACTGAACGCCGAGGTCTGGCATCATAAGGCCGCGCCGTGGCCCCCTTCTTCCTCCCTCCTCCATTCTCTCCTTTCTCTCGTGCATTCTTTTGTCTCCCCCTCTCTTCCCACGAACCCTAAACCCTAAATGCAGGTCTAGGGTGGCCGGATCGACGTTTTGGATGCTTCCCCAAGGTGCTCCTCCTTCCCCTATTTCATTTCTTCTGGTTAGATTCGGTTCCATTTGTTTTTTTCTTTTGGATAGCAGTCTTTGATTGGTTGTTGTCATTTACAAAAACTATGTCTTAATTGATTGTAGGCCTCAAATGTATGTTTATTGTGGTATAGTAACTTTGTTTCCTTTGGTGGGTTAGTTGTTCATTGGTGGATTAGGGTTACTTGTTTATTGATTGCATTAGGGTTAGTTGTAATGCAAATGGTTCACCGCTAGTTTGCTGTAGTATTTATTTTTCCTTTGATTGGTGTTTAATTACAACATTTTTGTTAAATGCAACACATGTATCGGGAGCAGCTATGGCGAAAACGGGGTCGCCCTAGAGAATTATACCCCGACGTGTCTAGCAAAGATGTCTCCGTTCCTCCTGACCTCCCTGTTCCTAACTGCGACTGTGGTTTCGCGGCCCACGTTTTTCAATTGAGACATCCAGACACAGCTGCGCGCTGCTTCTACACATGCAATCGTTTTATGTGGTAATTGCTTCCTTATCTCTATTTTCTTAATTTTTGGTTGTAGTTTACTAATATATTTGGTGGAATCTTGTTTTGTAGGACCATGAGAGGTGAATTTTCTTTTAGTGGATCGACGGTGCAGATAAGTTTGACCCAAGGTACCTCTTTTTCGACGATTGGTGGAGAGGGAGACATCCACGTGAGCACTTCGAGCGGTGGGTTCCACCTCCCCCGAACCCCCACCAATGACGAAGGAGGAGAAGCACTTAGCCGCAGTTAGACGCCTCGAGGAACCTCCTTTGTGCGATTGCGGAGATCGAGCTGTGATAAACCCTGAGAATACGTTGGAGTTTGTGTGCCCAAACAAGCATGAAATAAGTGCAAAGTGTATGTGTTGAAATGTTGAGCTATATGTGTTCATGTACTAATGTCACCTTTTTTTTAGGTGTTTTCAATAGTGAAGTATTGTTTCAAAGAGTGGTTGTATAGTCCTAAGAACCAATGGCCGAAAGAACCGCCAAAGAAAAAGGAAAAGAAGAAAGAAAGGGTAATTTACAAAGTACCTCCTGTCATGTGCTAATGTGGTGTTAAATCCAACTACGGCCTAGTCCCTTCGGAGCTTGAAATAGGCCATTATTGCGGTCATATGGTTGCCTATGATGAGGTTGGTTATTGTTGTGGAAAACATGAAATTGTATTTTTTTTCTTTTGCTAATACTTATGATCTAATTTTTCATTTCAATAGAGCACTAGGAAATGCAGGTGGGAATCTTATGATGGTCAAGCTAAGTTCTTGGATGACTTGAAGGGGAGGCAAATAATTGCACGGAAGAGGGGATATGAACCTGACTATGTCGACCACTTCGTTAAACTGCGAAAGAAGAACATGCGTGAGTTTGCTAGACAGCGCGGTATTTGTAACCCGATCGCTATCAGGCTTGACAAATGGGGGTTTGAGAGATGGAGAGCGTTAGAGGAGGAGAGGGCAAGAAAGTCTGCAAATTGCTTCATTGTGTGCTAGTGAGTCATTGCAAGCCTTGTTATTTTTGTTGCCTACTTTTAAATATAATATAATTGCGTTGCTAACTTGTTTTGCATTTTTTACATGAAGGGATTGGGTGTAGCGGGGAGCATGCCGCAGAGGTGCCCCGTGCAAGGTATGTGGAAAAGAAGTTACATAAGCACAGAATGCGAGTTGGTCACAGTGTTCTATATCCGATTGTGTTGGACGATGAGGGGGACGAGGATGAGGACAACACTGCCAGGTTGAGCGATCTCATCACTCAAGCGGAGGCAGGCTTGCAGGTGGAGAAGGATGAGGATGACACTGGCAGACTATGCGAGCTCATCGCTCTAGCAGAGGCGGGCTTGCAGGCGGAGGAGGATGAGGACGCGTTCTTCTCTCACGCCGCAGAGGCCGTAGATGAAGCGGAGGCCGCTTACTACAGACTTTAGGTAGATCATGGCAATGCATGTGAGCCTAGACACATGAACGAGGCGGCGGAGAACGCATTATTGTCTCACACCGCAGATGAAGTGGAGGTCGCTTACTACAGTTGAAAGGCAGATCAAGGCAACGTAGGTGAGCCTAGCCATAGCAACAAGGTTGTGGTGGAGGATTGGTACTCCGACGAGGAGTTGCTTACTCAGTATGTTTCAGACTGGTAGTTCCAAGGTTTAGATTTGGTAGTTCCATGTTTTATTAGTGAACAATGTTGTTATGTACTAGACCTTTCATTGTGTTGTCTTGTGTATCATTTGAACCCATGTAAGGAACATTGTATCCATTTACCAAACTTCGGAGGCCTTTTTAGCACATTTGGCGTTTGAGATATTCAAACGAGTACGAATTGTAGGCTTTTCTTGTAATAATGGTGAAGCTGGTAGATGGGTAGATCCTGCTCCCCCACCGCCACCGCCGCCTCCACCTAGTATGGGAGGATACTGCAGAGAAGCTTCTACTCAGTTTGCCATGTGGGAGCATTACTAAGAGTAAACTATGTTTGTCGTTATCACTGGTGATGTCATGTAGGCTACATTTAGTTTGAATTCCCTAAGGCATGTTCTGTTGAGTAAACAACCTCCTCGTCCTACTTTGTTAGGGTTTGGTTTGGCGCTCGGTGTTGAGTCGGCGCACGCCGAGCATAATAGCATCGGCGTTGAGTCGGTGCACGCCGAGTGTTGGGCCGAGGTCACGGCAATTGTGGCCAGACCTAGGTGTCGAGTTGGGTCATGCCGAGGGTTGGGCCAATGTCTGGCCATGGAGGGTTGGCTAGACTCGGCGCTAAGTCAGGCTACGCTGAGGTATGGGCCTCGATGTGGAGTTGTGCCGCGCTGAGGTATGGGCCTCGGCATCAAGTCGGGCAAGGCTGAGGTTTGGGCCTCGACGTCATTTGACTTGACTCCTAGGTCTGGCGTGTCGGCGCCGCGAGCCTGATTTACTCAGTAAGGAACTAGGACGAGGCCTCCGCCTTGGTGTCAAGCTTGATCACACTAAGGTCTGTTATCTCGGCGTCAAGGTAAAGCACGCCGAGCCTTGGAGTCTATAAATAAAACTTTGAGGCAAGTTCCAGGTTACCATGAATAGAGTTTGAAGCATTTCACCATAGCATATTTTTAGCGTGTTGTTCTACGACGCGGGGGCCTTCCCTATCGGCAGATATTTTAAAAGCATCCAACATACTACTACATGCATTACAACATTACCTAACGATACAGTTGCATACAACATCCAGTGCCATCCAACATACTACTACATGCATTACAACATGGAGTTCCATACAACACATCGACTACATGCATTACAAATACGAGTTAGCGTGTTCACAAACTTACGTGTTGTGGAAATAGGATGTCGAGCTCGTTCGTGTAGCTGATGTATGCGTGGTGGGAGACGTGGTAAGTACCGTAGGCTCGCTCATAGAGGCGTGCCACAGTAGGGGCAACGACTGAGTCTCCGGCTAGGAACTAAGCCAAAGGGTGTTCAATCTTCCATGGCCTCCCAACTGGAAGTCTCTCCCACATCCAAATCTAAAAAATTATAGAAATGCGTTAAACAAACAACAATCAAAGAATTCATACTTACACAAGTTTTGATTTACCAGAAAAAGTGTGGTGCACCCTGACATTGTAGCGTGCACGCCTGAAGGACGTCGGCAAGCCTCGCACAGCTGACGGTACAGGAAGGAAAGTATCGCCGAGCCCCAGCTCCTGTTCCTGGCATCGTCCCAGTTAAGAAGGCACGGGATGTACATCTACGATGCCGTGTCTCCGGTGCCATCAGGGAATAGAACGGTACCAAACATCTGTAGGACCTAGGCCCTGCAGTAGTAGTTCACAGTCGCCTTGTCTGCTAAGGGTGGGCACTGCTGAAACTACTCCCAAAGCCACTTTAGTGGCACACCACTGCTGCACCGCTTCTTGCCAGGCTAAAGCTCTGGTAGGGGACGTCCCAAGAACTAAGCCACACGGTCCTCCCATCCAGCGGACTCTATGTCTCCTGTGACCAAGAATCCTTAGATTTTTAGTCCAAGGATCAGGGCTACATCCTCCAAAGTGATCGTCATCTCTCCACATGGTAGGTGGAAGCTGTGTGTCTCTGGTTGCCACCTATCAATCATCGCTGTCAGCGCCGTCGGGTTGAAAGGTGGCACCCCACGACGACAGGCACGAGCAACGGCAGAAACTTCG